TCCTGCTTTCCCTTTCGCCTCCCTGCATTGTGCCTACATATGCAAATTAACTGCCATCTTGTTGGCAGTTAACTGCCATCTGAGTTGGCAGTTAATTTGCATATAGCCCTGATTAGCCAATGAAAAGGGCAGCGTCGTACGCCAATTACCATTTTTCTCTTTTATTAGTGTACATGGGTTGCAAAAGCAAATCGAGTGGTGGTTATTTGGGGGTTGCCTGAATACAAAGCTAGCCTAGTTCTAATGGGGATAGGAATGTAAACAAATTGCCACACTGTAAGGCACAAGCAGCAATTCTAACATCACAAAGTAGAAAGGGCCTTCACACTGTACTGAAGGCTAAGCTGGAATTCAGTCACACAGAATGACTGAGGAGCCAGAGAACAAAGGCACGCAGCCATGAAACTGCACGCTGTACCCTGCCGTTAGCGGGCAATAGTGCTATAGAATGTAATGGGAAATGAGTCATGAAGGATAGTTTGGGTTCAGATGATGGAGGGCCACGAGTATAATGCAAGGACATTAGACTTTATCCTCGAGGCCATTTTCCCAGCTGTATTCCTAGATCTCGTAAGTGTCTGGTAGAAGTGAGCCCAGGTTGGGGTGAGATGGAGTGGGCAGGCCTTCCAGAGGAATGCTGTTATTGTCTTATAGGTGAGGCTTTCAGGAAATACTGGTTTAAAAGGTGAGTGTGTCCTGGTGCTAAACAAATTTTAAAGATCAGGATTATGGGTGATGGAGGGCCAGTGAGGATTCTTAAGCAGGATAGTGACATGTTCAGATTTGTTTGAAAGTTGTTGAGAAACCTGGCAGCATTGTGGCAAGTGGGTGGATGCAGATGGGGACATTGCCACAGCTTGAAACAACTTGGGCAGGGTCAGAAAAGAAACTGCAAAAAATGGTGTTCAGATAACTTGGCAACTGATTGACTGTGGAAAGGGGACTGTTGAAGATGACACCAGGTAACTAAGCTGAGTGAGTACATGGTAGTGCTACTTGCTGAGGAGGCAAAGGAGCAGTTAAGTTGCGGGGGCTGAATGAACTGTGGTCTTGAAACATTCCTTTTGCTTTCTAAGCTGGGCTCTTCCATCTCAGTCCTCACTTTCTTTGTTTCAGTGGCTTTGACCAATCTGGAAGATACAGAGAATGCCAAGAGAGCTTATGCCAAAGCAGTCCGCCTGGATAAGTAAGCTGCACCATGGGGAATGGTATTGGGGAAGGCTAGACTCTCCAGAGCCACAAGGTGGCATTAGACCACTGGCTTTGCCTGAGTCAGCCCAATTGCTTGCACTCCGTGGCCTTTGTGCACAGGATGTGTGG